ATTATATATATATAATATATCAGTTTAGGATCATTTATATATAACAAATCGTGTGTGATTGTATAACACAGTTTAGGCCTTTAGATCTAGAGAATGAATGGATGTGATATTAATGGCAATTAGGTAAATAAATGCATAAACATATATCACTAATTTGGTGGCCGATTTAAATTCATTAAATTTCAAAAAAAATTCTATTTTTCTCAATTTTGTCATTGGCATGGAAAGAAAAAAATCAAAGGTTAGGCTCTAAAAAACGGACGCGTGGTAAAGTAGAGTGGTAGAAAAGTGTCATGTGGCATGGTTAGGAGTTTTTTATTAGAAGAGAGAAGAGATGGTCACCCGTTCCTTCCTCGGTCACAACTCTATCTTCTCTAATTTCTCCTATACATTTTGGAAAAAAAATCAATGATTCAAATTTTAAAATACACAAAATCAAGAATGATTTATCTTCATTGATCTTCAATCCAAGCTTAATAAATCACGATGTAAATCAGCAACCATCTCCTTATTATCTTTGTTTTCGTCTTCAATACGCCCCTACTCCCCTGCTTCACCCATCGATTTACTTTTTCCCCGTCTCTATGAAAACCCTTGAAATTTGACTAAACCACCACCTTACCTCCACTGCTAGACCCTGAATTTTCGGTTTTGAGCTGAGCTTACATCGTAACAGAGACACTGTCACGTCGTGAGAACAGAGTTTTCGAAAAAGTTTGGTTCGATTCAACTCATGTACTTTCAATGTTAGACAACAATATAGCTCTAATACCACTGATGGAATTTTTAGGTTACAACAATATGCACAATGCGGAAAAATACTTAATAATTAAGAATGGCACATGCAACCGAAAAGGATCTATGTCTCAACACTTTGAAGGCAACATACTTTGAATAACAAAAACTATTCATGAACCGTAGAAAATTCAAAAATAAGGAATTACAGTTACATACCTTATATTTCTTATAGCAAACAAATCACTTCAATCCTTCCTTTGTAGAACTTGAGAAGCTAGCACCAAAAGCTTAGTGCCTCTAATGATTTATACGAAAACCCTAGCAACTAGAAGACAAGATGAGAGAGGATGAGAGAGGGATAATTTTGGCTATCCTTTTAGTAGATGGAGTGGAGGAAAATGGGAGCCTAAAGTTCCTATTTATAGCTTCTTAAGGAACCCTAGAAACCCTAATTTGAATATAATAATAATATTTCAAATTAGGTAATTATCCTAGTCCCTTAGTTATCAAAAGGAACATTCCAGAAATCCTAATACGGCATGCCAAAATTGGCTCCCTATGGAGGGTTCTAGAATCCTTCTCTTGTTCAACTTTGAACAATCACATCTTAAGTCCTTGCACCTTTAATTAGTTCTAACTAACCTAGAATTAAATCCAAATTAATTCTGATTAATTCTTAATTAATTATTACTATTTCCAATTAATATATTAATCACATAATATGTTAAAAAATCATTTCTAATTAATGTATTATTCAAATAATAAACTAAAAAATTATCCTCCCTCTCCAAATGTTATTCTATTTAGTTATTAGCTATGAGGGCAACCCAAAAAAGGATTTTGCTTCTAATTACAAGTATATACCAATTTAGTTATGAGCTTAGATGCCTTAATCAAACCATCTCCCACTTGGATAAGTCTATAACTAGAATTGCAATTATAATCTTGAACTAAACAACAAAATGTGCTTCCCAAGCCACTGTCGAACTCTGATTCAAATCAAACGTTTGCCCTAAGATAAGTGATCAACTATTCCTTCGTTCTACAATATATCCTATGGACACGACACATGGAATTCAATCAATCTCATTGTCCAGAATTCGGTTTCTTGATTTCCCGATTTGTGATGACGTCATTAGACTACTAATTGAACACATCAATTTAGTCATGGTTGGGCCCAACACTATAATGTCAACACCAAATCACCGAGGGGGCCAAATATATTGCTTTTTCCTATTAGGGAAAACAGAACGAATAAACTTTGACTACATAACTGTAACCTTTACTCACCAAATCATACATGATACTATGTTTTATAACATCATGTTACTGATGCGTTTTCGCAACACCAATGCACAACCAACTTGTAAATTACAACTTATGCATCTCCGTTTGAAGAATAGAAGATATTATCGTATTAGAATTACTCGTGATTAAATCCATGAAGTAATATCTAAGTGTGGGTTTATCCAATACTCAAAATCTCTATTTTCTAATACTCATGAATATTGCAGCAATCTTATGCTATGCCCAATCTCTATGGACAATCTACAATCGATTCATGACAGTCTTAAATCACTACTTACTTCCAAAAGTATGAACGACTATGGAGCTTCGAATAATCAAATTACTCAGGAAGTAAAATATGCAAAGCGAAACACAATAATAAATAATTGAAGAAGACAGTATCAATACTCATAAATAATTTTCTATTATTCAGGCACCAAAATTAATTACATTTATTTTGTTACAAAGTTTCAAACTATCAATTAACTACTAAAATTGATATCATCTCTTAAGCCAATGCTCCTAGCATGCTGGTTGTGCTTGACCCTGCTCAGAGCCTTCGTCAAAGGATTTGCAGGATTATCTTCTGATGATACTCGTTTCACCAGGAGATTCCCTTATTCAACCCTATGTCTGATGTATTGGTACTTTTTGTCGATATGCTTAGATCTCCCATAATCCTTTGTTTCTTTAGTCAAAGTAATTGTGCCTTCATAATCATAGAAGAGTTCCATTGGCTCTTGAATGGTCGGGATTACTCTGAGATCTCTGATGAAATTCTTCAACCAAGCCGCTTCTTGCGATGCCTCACTCGATGCGATGTATTATGATTATGTAACGCCTGGTTCCCAGGTAAATTCTTTTAAAGTTTAAATATATTAATTTTTACATGTTAGGCCATTACATTGGGCGCAACCAAGAATTACGCAGGGCGTAACTCATTAATTGGATGTGAGGTTTCTCTTGCTTACGTTGGGCGTACCTAGAGTACGTTGGGCGTACTCGTGGCGAAGCAAACCCTAATTTTAGGTTCTTGGACTATCATTAAAATACCTTAACCCCTTAGAAACTCTTCTTATCATTAGCCACCACCCTCTCTTGCAGCCCCCACAAAACCCTAGTTCCATTTGTGAGAATCTCAAGCTTTTGTGTGATTTTTGGTGTGTTATATTGAAGAATGAGAACTTAAAAGGTGTGCTTCGAGTCCATAACTTGTAGATCAATCCTCTACTCATCTTCATCATCTTCCAGAAAGTATAAAGTCTCAACTTTTATGATTCTTTTGCATAGATATAGATTATCTAGGGTTTTGGCATGTTTTAATCCCAAGGGTTGACTCTTGTGAGTAAAAGGTACTCCAGAGTTTAGGTTGGCATTTCTTGAGGTTTCTAAGGTCTTTATTGCATAAAAATCAAATCTTTTTGGGTATTTTTCAACCATGCATGAGTTATTGGCCAATTAATAAAGTTAAGAAGTTAGGGTTTGGTATTGGGCTCTATTAAGCCATGCAAAAGCTTAAAGTTGTCAACTTTTTCAGTTAAGATATTCCCAAGAGATAGATCTGTGAATTGGACGTTTAGACTTTAGGTATTAAGTGCTTAATATGGATTTTGGCATCAGGGGAGTATGTTGGGCGTACCCTCTAGGTACGCACGGCATAACATGTTAAGTCCCCGACTCCCCTTTTCTGTTAATTCTAGTATTGGGCGTAATGGGGTGGTACGCTTGGCGTACTCACCAGAAGGTCATTTAGGCCATTATTAGGCCTTGGGTCATATTGGGTTTTGGGCCATAGTTAGTTGGGCCAAGTATGAGAAAAGGTAAAATGGTATTTTACCCTTAGTATGATAGATTATGATTTTGACCTTTTATTATGGGTTATTACCCTAATTAATAATTAGGGTTGGTTTGGATGTGATCAGTGTGAGGAGTCGTTGTAGCAGTTGTTCGAGTGTGTGATATTTTCTTATCATCGGATTAAGGTGAGTCTCTTCAATGTACTCGTGGGTCGAAGGAACCAATGTCGACCCACTGGATTATGTTTGTAGGATGCTAGTTGTCTGTGTGATACTTGCATGTTTTGTATGTTGGGCAGGGCCCATTATGTAAGTTAAGGTGAGACCGTTATACTCATTGGGCGGGGCCCGTTGCTTGTATGGTATGCGGTATTTTGGGGAACACACTAAGCCTTGTGCTTAAGGTTTATGTTTAAATGTTTTTCTGGTACTTTCAGTTCAAAGGGAAGGGCCCAGCCTGATCGCAGTGCATCCACCCGTGTCTAGCATTTTACGATTTTGGGATTGTACTCTAATAAACTATTTTTTATCTTGACAAACTTTGAAGAATTGAAATTAATTATTGATGATTTTGGTTGTTTTAAAAACAAAAATCACTACTAGAAAAACAGCCTTTTGCGACGCGCAATGCGTGTCGTAAAACACTCAGACGACGCGCAAATGTGTGTCAAGGAAGGCCCTGTCATAACGAGAGACGACACGCTTTTGCGCGTCGTCTATAGACGACGCGCATTTACGACGCGCAGTTACGACACGCATTTACGACGCTCATTTACGACACGCAATGCGTATCAAGGAAGGCCCTGTCATAAAGGAAGACGACACGCATTTGCGTGTCGTAACCTTACGACGCTCGTTTAGGACACGCATTGCGTATCATTAAAGCCCTTGTCATAAATGAAGATGACACGCATTTGCATGTCATAAACTTCAACAACCATTTACGATATGCATTTACGACGCGTCTTTACGATACTCATTTACGCATAATACAAAAATACGAAAACAAATATATACCAAAACAATCAATTTCATCCAATAACATCATGACAAAAAATTGTAATATATTGGTATTAAAGGGGATCTGATTGTACATTGTCATTAAGAGGTTTTCCCTAACTATATAACTTAATACTACATTGCTATTAAGGAACACCTTCTTGTTTCTACTTCTTGTTGTTATGCTTCTATTTCCACATGATACCTGTTTTTCATCATCAACACATTAGTATTCCGAAAAGGCTTCAAGCATCATCAATCTATGTTATAAAATATTAAAATTTAATGCACATGTGGTAACATACCTTTTTCCAAGAATCCAAGCTTCAATACAGCCCATACCTGTATAAAATATTAAAATTTAATACACATGTAGAATATAAAAGTCAATATGAAAGAGTGAAATAGTGCTACTTTCCCAAAAAAAAAACAACTCTTTCTATTCTATTATATTATACTGCTTCAGTTAACTTAATATAAACCAAAAAGAATTAAATACAAAATATGAAAGTGAGAGTGAACAAGGGGACATACTTACTTTTAATAAAACACGATCCATCCATTCTCAATCGTATGTCTTCACAATAATCAAAAGCCCTTGGAATATTTTCAAGCCTGATTGCCTTAAGGCTGTCAACTCCAATTATATAAGACATTATACACTTCCTAGTACCTGGACAAACCATCAATGTATTTTCAAGAATTTGCACTGATACAACAACCTGTTAAAAAAGAAGTTTATTTTATAGAGCATAAATAAACTCTGCATTTTTTTTGGTGACAATACTAAAAAGCTAAAAAGTCATATAAATAAGTTATTTATTAAAATGTTTGGAGACAAAATATTTTTGAATGCGTGTATAGTTAATACTAATGCAAAAATCTCTTAGCTCAACATATTTGATAAAGTTGGAATTTCTCCAAGATCAAAACAATAGATTTAATTGATGTGGTGAAAACATCAAAGGCTTCAGAAAGAGCAATTCCAGATAATATGCATGCAACTGGAGCAAGCACAAGCATTAGTCGTACATGTCATGTCATTAGAGATAAACTTTTAAGATGACAGGAAATTATGTATTTGAAAAAAGGGTAAAAATGTAAAATGACTAGAATCCTTACCATGACACTGGAAAAATATACCGACATTACTATGTAAAGGATGACAAAGGAACTTGCATCAGAGAGAGGTGAAAAGCATGCCTGCAACATTGTCACAAATAACAAGGGGTAAATTTGGAATAGGTAAGAGACACTAATAGGAATTGAGATGAACTTACAATAATTCCAGCAGGAACCAAGAATGCTAATACATTTAGATCCATAAAGTAAGATGGCCCAGTAGGTGGTTGATGTTCACTGACACTTGCAATAATTGGTATGTATTTGCTTGCATACGTTCTAACACAATACAAAAAGGAATGTCACATGTCACATAGTTGTTAAACAAGAGACATGAAACTCACGGATCAAGAAGACTTAGACTTCTTCCACTCCATCCCTTTGTTGGACTAGATGCAACCACTGCTACAAGTACAGGTACTACAGCACAACATACCACCCTGAATCAATAAATAATTTATTAATTATATAACCATTTTATATAATTTCAGATTTATGTTCTCTGCTAAATACTAATATAGGTTTTCAGTCATTTAAAAAAAGCTTTCAAGAAACAGCATTTATTGAATTCTTGAAATTCTAAAACAAAATGCAAGATGGGCTTACATGCCAACTGAAATAACGAGGGTGGCAGCTACTTTAAACATCTTTGGAGAGAGGATTCCTTTAATGTAATATGCAAGAGCCACCAAATGGATGATAATGAAAACATGTAATAATGTCACAAAAACAAAGAGTTACTGATATCAATAATGTTACAAAGACCAAAAAGAAAAACAATGAGCAAGAAGGAATATCTGAAAGCAATCCTAAAACTACATAATAATCATAAGAATCTAGGTCCAGACATCAAGAAAAAGAAAAGGCAAAACAAAATAAATTGTATAAAGGTAGCATGAGGTCTTATTTTTTAATAAGTTCAATACTCATCTATTGCAACATGCTCTATGTATCTTTATTATAGTAGCATCTAAATTATCTTATATTCTTTTGTTTGTGAGGGGAATGAATTTTATGTAAATGAGACCACTCATAACTTAATTACTTCGAACTGGTTTTTGATTGTTGAATCTAAAAGCAAGCCTAAAACAACAGGCACTAATGATGCAAGTAATGTTCCCAAGACAACCTGCATAGAATAGCAAAACAATTGTTTTATAAACCAAAAGCAATTGCATGTCTTCTTTTTAGTTTTTAATTTTATATTAATATAAAACTGGACCAATCAAACACTTACAAGTGGAGCATATGCAATGTAGAGCCGAGATGAATAGCGACCAGTCACAATGCAAAGAAGCACATGCATTGGTATCAGGTTGATAATAAAGGTGTACCCTCCCCAAGAGCATACCTGAAAGATACAAGAATTTAAGGAGACAACACAAAAAATGAGAGATATAACAAGGTATAAAAGATCTACAAATCAATATGGAAAAAATATAGCATGCCTACCATGTAGAAGTATGCAATTGAGTTTAAAGTAGCATAGAAAAGGGATCATGTGTTCAATGTCTGCATATCCAGTAAAAAATCAAGGTCAGAAAATAGTTTCATCATTCAACAATGAATTTGTTAACAGTGCCATTACAGCAAAACTCCTTTTTAAGGTCCTTCAAAATCTTATTGTCACTTTTTCATCAAAATAAAATCCCTGGTCCTTCAAGATTTGATGTTTGAGCATCATAAGGCACGAGTCATATGTTCCAAAACCGATGATATTTTCTTTCGTGTACTTAAAGTCAGCTCCAAATGTGGGTTGTGATTGTCCTAACAAAACAAAATATTATTATTATTAATTTATTATACAGATAAAGATAAAGTACATAATTTATTATTGTTTCTTACCATTTCCAAGGCTCTCCATGTAGTTTCATCAACAGGGAAGAGTTGAAGTTTAAGTTTCACTGAAGACTAGATATTTTGATGAAAAATTGGCACATGGGGGGATGATACTTTGGGTTTTGGGAATAGGATCCGAACCCATGTCTCCTGAAAGCCAAGATTAAATATTAAAAATTAAAGGAAATAAAAGTGTGAGTTTATTAACTGTACAGTATCAACTAATTTATCAACATATTTGATAAAGTTGGAATTTCTCACAGGTGCGAAGCACCATCGGTAATGATTCAGAGAGATTGAATGAATTCAGAAATGAGAAAAGTTTCACTCTTTTTTCAATCTAACATGTCAGTTTCAACAACATTAACTGTAAGGGTAGAATTGTCTTTTTACTGTATCAGGGGCATACATGTAATTTTTCATTATTTAGTTGTTATGAAAATAGTTAATTAGTTGATTTCTATTTATGTAATAAGTTCTTTCAAATCAGGAAATCTGAAATGAGCAAGCTTGGACTTGAATGTTCGTGGTGGTACAGCTGTTGCCCCAGGAGCCCATAATGTCTTTAATAAATCTCCAAATGTCATTGCAATCTCACCCTGTCATCATACCCATAGGCCATAGCCATAAAAAAAAAAATCAATAATCTTCTACTTGTTTGTTTGCTGCTATAACTATTCTTGCAGAAATACAAATGAACAAAACCAATCATTTATATGGGACATTTAGGGCTAATTTCATTAATGATGACCAACACCAACTGATCTGTTATGGCGTACAAGAAGGGCAGACATCAAAACAAACAAATTACAAAACCATGTAAGTAGGGTAAATTCAATTTTATTCTTACTTTTTTCTTTCATGTATATGGCGTACAAGAAGGGCAGCACCAAATGCCCCCTTTCCAATTTGCTCAAGCACTCCGTATTGATCCATGTAGATAGCAATGCATTTCACTCTGTCATATATACACAGTTATAAAACCATGTAAGTATGCATTGTCTTAAAAACTTGTTGTGAGGTTCAATATAAAGATCAAATCGTGAAGATACTTTGAAACAACACATCCACAGTGAATAGGCTGCAATAATTTTTTTTTAAAATAATAAAATTGCTGAGCAGAAAAAATCAAGTTCTTAAAGATTTCAAGAATGTCAGATTTGAGATTAATCCCACCAACCGGGTTTGTTCAGGTGGAATATTTCACAGTATGTTACTTTATCAGGTGGAACATTCTGTTTAGCACTTCAGCCTGAATCTCCCTGCTGTCTGCTTTGAGAAAAATGTCTTGTAACACTTGTATGGCATCAATATCTTTGACTTTGCAATTGTCCTTTTCCCATCCATCATCTGGAAACCGATCAGAAGATGATTACCAACTGATGCCTTGTAACACTTGTATGGCACCAACAAGGGTCTCCAGTTTCCGGCTTGAAGTCCCTCACAGCAATTAGCAGTACTTTTATCTGCATAAACATTATACAATTCATAAGCCTGGTCAACAGTCTCTACAAATAGCCAAAAAGGTGAAAGCTGTGCACTAACCTTCTCCGAAGATGACGAACGGAACTCTTCCCAATGTCTCTTGAAGTCCAATTCCAGTTCATTTTTGTCGTTGACACGAGTCTAACCGGAAAGATTGTGAACGTGAGAGAAATCGAACCCCGAGATTTGGTTACAGATGTTTTAAACAGAGTCGCTTCACACCCACAAATTCTCGAAATTGATGACAAAAACGGAGAAATTGAAATAAAATTAGAAGAAGAAGAAGAAGAGGATTTGTTACCTTCAACCTCGTGCCCCGAGTCTCGGAACGCTTTTATTCAACTTTACAGTCGTTGACACGAGTCTAACCGGAAAGATTGTGAACGTGTGAGAAATCGAACCCCGAGATTTGGTTACAGATGTTTTAAACAGAATCGCTTCACACCCACAGATTCTCGAAATTGATGATGAAAACGGAGAAATTGAAATAAAATTAGAAGAAGAAGAAGAAGAGGATTTGTTACCTTCAACCTCGTGCCCCGAGTCTCGGAATGCTTTTATTCAACTTTACAGTCGTTGACACGAGTCTAACCGGAAAGATTGTGAACGTGAGAGAAATCGAACCCCGAGATTTGGATTCCGGTGAAGTATCGGAATGGGTTTCCGATGAATCAGACAGTGGCAACACAAACACGAACGCGTTTCCTGCGGAACAAGAAACGGGTTGTAAGCCGAACAAGAGAGTGAAAATTGGTGATGAAAATGAAAGAAAGTCACCGCAGGTTAAACGGAAGGTGGTTTCAAAGGCTAAATTGGTCCGGAAACCAATGAATCCTTTGACTTTTGTACCTGATACGTAAGGGAAACAAGAATCAAAAGGTGCTCAAAGGGGTTTTAGGGTTTCTATTAATCGAAGAGGATTTTAAGAACTTCAAAAATATGAAATTATCGATCTTCTACACATCAAATACCAATTCGGAAAAATCGCATATTAGGAAGTCAAAAATATGATTTCAGGAACTTCACAACTAAAAATCGCATATCAGGAACCCACACAATGCTTTTAGGGTTTCTTTTGATCGAAGTGGATTTCACAACATACGAAGAAGAAGGAGAGTATCAGGCGGGGTTTTTAATTTTTTGGTATTTCATTCCCCTCTTAGCAATTAAAAATTTGGAGAACGCGCGTTCATGAAAAAATTATAAAGCGACAATTCTACATGACACGCTCTTTTATGCTAGGTGCCCTCCGTGTTTTTAATTTTTTTTGTTGGACACTAATTTTAGGGCACGCATAAATGCGTGCCCTCTATCTTTCATATTTTGGAAAGCTGACATTAATTTTTAGGGCACGCACAAATGCGCGTCCTCTATCATTGTGTGTCATTGTTTGCGCGTCATTAAAGGGCTGTTTTCTAGTAATGAATTTTACTTATTATTTTTGGGATGTTATAAATTGGTATCAAAGCTTTGGTTTGAGGGATTCGAGCACACTATTGGGTGTGTCTGAACTCAAACCGAGGAACCAAGTGAAAAGAAAGAGATTTTCAAAAAGGATTTTTATAAAATGGGGTGTGATGCGCGCAATCTGCCAAGCTCAAGTAAGTGCTCCCAAAATACCCATACATGTTTGTTTGATTCAGTATGTGAATAGCATGCTAGATTAGGGTTAAGGATCTGCTCAGAATTACATGTTAAGAGAGATGCATTGTATACTTACTGTATGAGCATCTAGAACCGTATGCTAATATGAATTACATATGAGATGTTAGGATTATGTGTTAAGTAGTGATATGGTTAGAACTCAATGCTTGAATGTTGCTTGCTTTATGCTTTTAGGAACCACTGTTAATGACAGTTAACTATCAATCGAATATGATAGGTTACATGTTACAGAAATTAGATAATATTAGAAGGTTAGGTTTATCTCTATTGTGCAGCTCTTGTTTAGGTCCAACCATTGTATTGTGAGACCTTGCAGTCAAAGAATTATCTAGTACTTGTTGCATTTTAATTATATTCGTAAGGTAGTTAGCGGGTGTTAGTGGGGGTTTCTTCTGCAGCTGATGGTGGAGAGTGGCGGGAAGGGGATCCTAGGAGAACCTAGGGAGCATGTTCGCATTAGCAGATGTGTTTTTTAGCGAGAATGTAGAATGTTGGGAATTAAGGGAGTCACTTACGGGAATTAGGACGACTCTTGAGGAAAGTACGCATAGGTTTGGAAGCTAGTATTGGGCCCATACTACTAGAAGTACAAGATATGTACTTGAGTCAAGGGGAGTCACGAGGATACTAAGGGATTCATAGAGTGTAGGATTCTTTGAATGTTTTCTGATGGTTTGCATTGTTTATTTTCAATTAAGTATGGTGGTCACTCGAAGTGGTTCAGGTCCTGGTGAGGGATCGGGTTCGGGCTCTGGAGTCGGACCCTTGGATGATCAGATGGGAGAGTTCATTTCATCTGAGATTACCCGCATAATTCTGGAGCAGACTCTTGTGATCTTTGGTACGATCAAGGAGGGCATTATGGAGATTTTGGATGAGTGTATGGGCTCATTTCGTACTGAGATGGTGGCTATGGTGGGTGCACGCTCTATGACTTTTAGAGAGTTTAGTGCATGTGGGGCTCCTGAGTTCTTCAGAATGAAGTACCCCATTGCTAGCAGATGGTGGTTGGCGGACATCGGGAATGCCTTCCGGACTAACTTCTGCCTTGAGAGGTCGAAGGTCAAATTTTCATCCTGTCTTTTGAAAGACAGAGCTCGTGATTGGTAGGATGAAGTAGACTATGCTATGGGAGGCGAGGCTGTTGAGATGATGACATGGGATGATTTTTGACGAGATTCAGAGCTGAGTTTGCTCCAGTGATTGAGGTACAGCAGCTGGAGAGAGAGTTTCAGGATCTCTGACAGATTACTGAGTCGGTGGCAGAAATCACCACCATGTTTCTTGCGAGAGATTTGTTGCTTCCGCAGTATGTAGCGAATGGGGAGATGAAGAAGTTCAGGTACCATGACATGCTTAAGGATGAGATACGGTAGTTTGTAAGCATGTACAACTGCAAGACGTTGGAGGACGTGATAGCTTGGGCTCGCGAGTGGGAAATTGATCTAGAGACAGTGAGGAAGAGGAAGTCGGTTCGGGCTTAGGTATCTAAGGGCTTGGGGAAGAAGCCCAATGTTGTATATTCGAGATTGAGGGGCCAGCAGGTTCGGGTTCGAAGCGGCCGGTGCGGCCGGACACAAGACGGAGCTTGTAGGACAGGTGGATCTGGCTGCTACAAGTGCGGCAAGACTGGTCACTTCAGCAGGGATTGTAGTGTCACTACCATCACCTAGGGATCGGGTCTAATTTTCTTCCATTACAATCAGAGGGGCCATAAGAAGGCTGGTCATCTGAGTTTTATAGCAGGGGGTGGTTGCAGCACCCATTTCGTCGACATTGAGGATCACCGATAGCCGCCAGGGCAATGCGGAGGCGCCAGTGGTGAGGAGCTGAGCTTTCTAACTAACAACCGAGGAAGCTCATGCAACACCAGATGTGGTTACTAGTATGTATTCCCTCCCTATTTCATTTATTGCTTTGATGTTTATGCTTATTATATTTTGATGTTATTTAGGGATGTTCTTAGTGAACGATGTTCCAGCTTTAGTTATATTTGATTCGGGTGCCAACCGATCGTTTGTATCTCTTGCACTTAGGAAGAGAGTCGGTGGCTCTCCAGGGGAGCTGGATTATCCATTAGAGGTAGAGATCGCCGACGATCATCCAGTACGGGTATTGAGGGTTCATCGGGTTTGTGTTATGGAGTTATTTAGTGAGCGGTATCTGATTGATTTGGTTCCTATTCGTTTGTGCGAGAGCAAGGTGATCGTGGGGATAGATTGGTTGAGCCCTAATGGGGCGATGATTGATTGTGGGCACCAGTTAGTTTGGGTTTAAACCCCAAGTGGGGTAAAACTGGTTATTCATGGCAAGGGTGCTTACTGTGGACCGGCTCTCTGCTCAGCTGCGAGAGCTAGGAGATACCTACGGTAGGGCTGTTCAGGTTTTGTGGCTTATGTATTGGACACCAGGGAGGAAAGAAAGAGGATGATTGATGATGTGTCGGTCGTTCGAGAGTATTTAGATGTGTTCCTGGAGGACTTTCCTAGAGTGCCTCCGAAGAGGCATGTGGAGTTCTGTATTGATTTGGTCTCAGGTGCGGCTCCGCTAGCCAAGGCACCTTATTGGTTAGGACCGTCGGAGATGCAGGAGTTGTCTACACAGTTGCAAGAGCTGTTATACAAAGGGTTTATCAGACCGAGTAGTTCACCTGGGGGAGCGTCGATTCTGTTCGTGAAGAAGAAAGATGGCTCCCATAGGATGTGCATCGATTATCGGGAGCTGAACAAGTTAACGGTGAAGAACTGTTATCCGCTTCTAAGGATTGATGATTTGTTTGACCATTTACTGGGTGCATCTTGGTTCTCCAAGATTGATCTGCGTTCAGGATATCATCATATGAGGGTTAGGGATGAGGATGTTCAGAAGAAGGCCTTCAGGACTCGTTATGGTCATTACGAGTTCGTGGTGATGCCTTTTGGGCTCACCAATCCACCAACGGCGTTTATGGATCTCGTAAACAGGGTTTTGCAAACCGATGTCGAATCAGTCAGTCATTGTGTTTATTAATGATATCTTGGTCTATTCTAAGACCAAGGAGCAGCATGAGGATCATCTGCGAGAGGTTCTGGAGACTTTGAGGATGGAGAGGTTTTATGAAAAGTTCTCCAAGTGTGAGTTTTTGTTGCATGAGATGCAGTTTCTGGGGCACCTTGTCAATCATAAGGGTATATTGGTTGATCTGGCCAAGATCGAGTTCGTGATGGATTGGGAGGTTCTGAGGTCTCCATTTGAGATTCGGAGTTTCCTTGGTTTAGCCGGGTACTATCGGAGGTTTATTGAGAATTTCTCCAGGATCGCAGTTCCATTGTCTAGGTTGACGAAGAAGTCAGTTACTTTCCGTTGGGGGCCTGAGCAGCAGGCGGCGTTTGAGACTTTGAGGCAGAAGTTATGTGAGGCTCCGATTTTGACCTTACTCGAGGGTGTGGATGACTTCGTGGTATATTGTGATGCATCG